TGACAGCGCCACACCCTTGATTCTATTCACGCTATGATCCTTGGTAATTTTCACCGTCTTGGTTATCAGCCGCTGTGGTGTGAATCGCAGTCCTCGTCTTAGAAATTCCACATTCTCGAGCTCTATTATATGTCCTGTGTCCAGTGCATGCACCTCCATTGCTGAGTCTTTGGTCAGCGTTTGGTATTCTTCCGCATTTCTTGGTGGCCTGTTTATACTCACCACTCAGACGGGTCGATTCAAGGTAGCAACCCAAGCCACAACACGAGTGCTGCATTTTATCTGAATAAAAGGGTCAATATCACTGGATTTCTTCGGATGACACGACCAAAACCGTGAGAAATCACACTGAAGGATACGCCTTATGGTGAGTGAGGTGGAAACTAACAGTTCGTGGAAGTGCAGAAGCGGGGAAATTCAGTGGCGATGACTCAATATTTACAATTATGCCGAAAACGGGAACAAGCGAATCAACAAGTGAAACGACTGTCATAATAGTATGATTTTTTTCACATGAGTTATGAGTATGAACTCAGCGGCTTTGGCGCGTGACGTCTTTCATAATCTCTATAAGGTTGGAACACTGATAGTCAGTCGATTACCAAGAAGCCGCACTATACTCAATTCTTGAAACAAACATGTGTGTATATGAAGTGATTTATATGTCTGATCGAAATATTGCCGGGGTGAAATACTTGTACATATTTAAGGTAGTCACACTAAGATTAGTAGTACCAGGCCATTCGCTATTTTGCGTTTAATGTTTAAACAGCACAGCATATGTGCTTTGAGCTGATTTCCTGGAATCCTCTAGGCAAGCGTGGTTCCACTATGACCACAACCTTCTGCAGATTGTGCGATCCAAACTGGCAATTAAGCATTCTGGCTGTTGCCAGCTGGCAACAACTAGCCTTATATGAACACCAGGATAAATTAGACCTGATGACGAAATGAGTAGCAAAACGATCCCTAGGTTATGGTTCTTTTCAAAAGAGCCCCATCCGAACAGATATAATCCTTTTCTCCAGGGCGGATTTAAAACAAGCGTTTCTGGGCAGATTTCTATCAGGTTTATCACCAGTGGTAGAAACATCTGTGATGCAAGCCAATGCACCGTTTTCATGCTGCCATAATCTGTTTTGGGAACCCACTTGTGAAAAAAGGAAATGGTGACCCTTGGAAAGATACATAAAGCTTGGATAATATGAGCCTGAGGGTGCTTCACAAGTGCCAAGAAAAACCCACAATTTTATTCAATCAGCCATTGCTGTATACCTCGAGAAACTCAACACTCTCATAGAATCTCATTGAATAACAGTCGCCTAACGTTTCAAAACTAACGTGCTATTAAACTTGTCACTATTCACCCTTCAAAATGTGACGAACTAGCTACTCTTTCTATCAACACAGTAAGTTCACTGGAAAGGGGAAACTAATCTCAGTTAGCCAATGGCTGTCTTTTGAAAAACTAGGCTTCACACACTAGGTGTTGACCATCAGAGAAATCTTCGGGAGCTGATGCTTCAAGGACTATTGGAGATTTATTCAGCCCCTCGATGACGGCATCATTAATCGCATGTAACTGGCATGTTGTAGTATATGCATGCCCTAGTTTCTGTTTTAAGCGAACGAGGTAATGAATTCGGATGAAACTCAAGTGGAATCGGATGACTTTTCACGCTAAAACCAATAGCGAATGAGTCCCCCTTAGAACATCTTCCGGTCAAAGACTGACTGATTTTCCTTAATAGAATACGATGTTTAAATTTCACATTCAGGCTTGCATGTTATCGACTAACAATTAAATGCGCTCCGTCGGTTTGGGGGTTGCAAACCGAAATCGACATTTACTGCTCATTCTAAAGAAAGTTTGAAGCTCATTAAAGACTTCAGTGGTGCAGTTCAGTTCACCAGTAAATCAGTAGGTTTGCTTTAAGGAGACAGTCTGAAGTGCTGAGGAAGAAAAGAAAATTCAGTTTGATTTTCACCGTGAAGAATGGGGGGGGCTAAACTTTGTCGTATTCTACCGAAAGCTGTGTAAAATCACATGGAGAACCACCCGCTTTACGATGTTTTACAAACCTGCCGAATTTTTCTACCACAGTCGGCCTTCCGAAAATAGGACATCTTCAATACAGACCGGAAACTTGTTCCCCACTTATGGTTCTTTTCACATACTTGACGGCAACGTTGAGGTCACGGAGATCACCTATACATATCCTGATATAATTTCATTCGTACTTGGAGTACTTTCAGCGTGAGTCGATACCATTTTTAGTGTATCCGTGTCCCTTAAGTATGAAATTAAGGTGTTCTTCAAGAGAAAAAATTCTCTTGTGCTCATAAGACCCCTTTTCGTACTTGTAACGCTCGTTCAGTTAACGGGACACCCAACCGATACACTGCTTAGACATACACATGCACTCGGAATCTTCCACTCAAAACGTGATGCTTGAATGACTTCATTTTCAGTTTAGTTGATGTGGGTGTCGCGGAGTGGTCAACAACAATGGTTTATTGCGACGATCAGCTAAATGCGACCGAATAACTGAGGCAAATATGATACACGACTCTGAAGCATGCTTGCTTTCAACGTTGTAGCTAACAGGATAGGTACAAAGTCCATGCGACTCGAAAAAGCTACTCAAACAATCTTCTTCAGGCCAATTCCGGCCAATTTTTGGCTGCCAATAACACAATTGGAACAAAT